AGGGTAACACAGCTAGGGAGTGTCAGAGACCAGATTTGAACTCAGGTTTGAACTTTCTTGCTTCAGGTCCTACACTCTATCTACTGCACCACCTACTTAAACTTTAACACAGATCTGAGTTGCCAGATTTCCCAGCTTATCAACAGGATTTTAAAAAACCACAATATTCTCAACCCACGTGCCCACATCCATTTCTTAGACATTTGAAAAAGATACTCTTCATATCTGAACAAGGTACACTGCCTCCCTCTGTTAATGGAGAGGCATCCACTTGGTCTGTATTCCTGGAGTAAACCAACTGATTGACAAAGACAAGTAGTCTAACTCAGAATCAAAATTGTGTTCAATCTTGTTCCCCCTCCTTGTAAATGGGGCAGTAATTTCAAGTAAATGACATGGAAAGCTGTTACAAGCCGGCCCCACATTCACATTTCACTGTTTCTCTGGTTGTAAATAACATGCATGACTGCGCCAAGGACCAAATTGCTCTTTAGCTGCCAACATTAGTTGTTTAATGATCTGAAGAGCAGAAGCTGCCAATTATTGTATTCCATTTTCAAATGTCATTTAAAACCCATACATGTAATTATTATACCTTTTTGTTAAATTTTTATGGCTCTTCTGAAGTTGATAGGTTTGTGGGTTCATCTAACCTATAAAACTCAGTAAATATTCAATGCCTTCATTATAGAACTAAACTACTTTCCCATGATCCCATATAATTTTTCACAAAGCTGGACATCAGTAAAGATCAGAAGGTCACAGATTGAGAGCTAAAAGGGACCTTAAAAGCCTTTACATCAGAACTGAGTCCAGAAAGATTGAGTGGCTTGTCTAGAGTGACATGGCAAGTAAACATCTAAGGCAGAATTTAAACTCAGGTCTTCCTGGCTCTAAATCTAGCACTCTATTTACTATACCAAGGGTTTCTGTTGGAGTGGCTTCCATGATCTTAGTGCAAGAGTTATTCATCTTTTTTCATGTGTCATGGATCCCTTCCCAGAATAATATTTTAAATGCATAAAGTATATAGTATTACAAAGGAAATCAATTAGAAAAAAATTTTTAACACATTCACAGATCTTAGGTTGAGAATCCTGAACCATTAGGGTTAGCAGGGAGCTGAGTCACAAGACCTGAGTTCTAATCATGCACATGCCACTAATTAGCTGGTTAACCTCAGGCAAGTGACTTAATCTATCTGTGACTCAATTTCTTCATCTGCCAAATACAATAGGCTAGCTAGACGGTATAGAGGATAGAGCACTGAGTCTGAAGTCAGGAGGACTCATCTTCCTGAGTGCAAATCTGGCCTCTGACACTTACCAGCCATGTGACCCTGGGTAAATCACTTAACCCTGTTTGCTTTAGCTCCTCATCTGTAAAACAAGCTGGAGAAGAAAATGGCAAATCACTCCAGTATCTCTGCCAAGAAAACCCCAAATGGGCTCACAGAGTCAAAAATGACTGAAATGACACACTCCCATGATTGATCCTAATGAAGGACAAAGCTCAATTGACAGCTACCTACTTCACAAAGTTTTTGTAAGGATCAAATAAAATAATGCTTGTGAAAGCACATTGTGAAGCATTATGCAAATGGGAAGTAGCATGTTGTTTTCAGAGTACCTGGTTTGCAGACATTTTGAAATATATTGACTAGTAATTATCAAATGAGGAGGATGTGTAGATTTTGAATATTCAGAATGGAAGTACACACTTCTAAGACCTACTCGCATCTCCTTGAATGGCCTTCTCAATAGACATATCTCGTTTTTTTAATTAATTTCTTTTTAACATGTGTTTTTAAAACTTTGGATTACAAATTTTCTCCCTTCCTCCCTCCTCACCCACCCTCATTGAAAAGGCAAGCATCTCAATAAAGGTTATAGATGTGCAGTCATGCAAAACACTTCCATAGTAGTCCTGTTGCGAAAAACTAAGTACATTTCCCTTCATCCTATCCTACCCCCCATTTATTCTATTCTCTCTTTTGACCCCATCCCTCCTCAGAAGAGTCTGCTTTTTATTATCCCCTCCCCCAATCTGCCCTTCCCTCTATCAAACCCCTGCTCTCTTGTCCCTCCCCTTCCCCCCTTATTTTCCTGTAGGAGTAAGATAGATAGATTTCCATACCCAATTGAGTATGTATGTTATTCCCTCCTTAAGCCAAATCCTATGACAATAAGATTCACTCATTCCCTCTCACCATCCCTCATTTCCCCTCCACTGTAAAAGCCTTTTCTTGTCTGTTTCATGCGAGATAATTTATCCCATTCTACTTCCCCCTTTCTCCTTCTCCCAGTATAATCCTCTCTCACCCCTTAATTTTATTTTCCAGATATCACCCCTTCATCTTCAACTCATCCTGTGCCCTCTATCTATCTATCTATACATACATATAATTTTTTTTCCCTCCTGCTACCTAACACTGACAAAGGACTCATGAGTTACAAATATCATCTTTCCATGCAGGAATGTAAACAGTTCAACCTTAATAAGTCTCTTACGATTTCTCTTTCCTGTTTACCTATTCCATGTTTCACTTGAGTCTTGTATTTGAAAGTCAAATTTTATATTCAGCTCTGGTCTTTTCCTCAGGAATGCTTGAAAGTCCCCTATTTCATTGAATGACCATTTTTCCCCCTGAAGGATTATACTCAGTTTTACTGGGTAGGTGATTCTTGGTTGTAGTCTCCATCTCCGTTGCCCTCCAGAATATTATATTCCATGCCCTGTAGTCCTTTAATGTAGAAGCTGCTAAATCTTGTGTTATCCTGATTGTGTTTCCACAATACTTGAATTGTTTCTTTCTGACAGCTTGTAATATTTTCTCCTTGACCTGGGAACTCTGGAATTTGGCTACAATATTCCTAGGAGTTTTCCTTTGGGGATCTCTTTCAGGAGGTGATCAGTGGATTCTTTCAATTTCTATTTTGCCCTCTGGTTCTAAAATATCAGGGCAGTTTTCCTTGATAATTTCTTGAAAGACGATGTCTAGGCTCTTATTTAGATCATGGCTTTCAGACAGTCCAATAATTTTTAAGTTCTCTCCCCTGAATCTATTTTCCAGCTCAGTTGTTTTTCCAATGAGATATTTTCACATTCTCTTCTATTTTTTCATTCTTTTGGATTAGTGTTACAGTGCCTTTATTTCTCAAATTGTCACTAGCTTCCAATTTCTCCATTCTAATTTTTAAGGAAGTATTTTCTTCAGTGAGCTTTTGGACTTCCTTTTCCATTTGGCCAGTTTTTCTTTTTAGGGTATTCTTCTCTTCATTGGCTTTTTGAAACTTTTTTGCCGTTTGGGTTAGGCTATTTTTTAAGGTGTTATTTTCTTCAGTATTTTTTGGGGTCTCCTTCAGCATCACTCTCAGTTTTTCCTCTGCTTCTCTTACTTGCTTCTCAAAATCCTTCTTGAGCTCTTCCATGGCCTGGGACCAATTCATATTTTTCTTGGAGGCTTTGGATGTAGGAGCTTTGGTTTCATTGTCTTCTTCTTCTAGTTGTACGTTTTGATCTTCTTTGTCACCAAAGTAAGATAATATAGTCTGACTCTTTCTTGTGCTGCTTGCTCATGATTCCAGCCAATTACATGAGTTACAAACTATTAAGGTAGGAGTTTGTTTCCAGTGTGGAGAATGTACTGTCCCAAGCTTCAGGGGTTTTGTGCACTTGTTTTCAGAGACATTTCTAGGGACCTGTAAATTTTCAGTTCTTCTAAGGTGCTATTATCAAGGGCGAGGTGTTTACTCCTTTCCTGACCTGTACTCTGTTCTATGAGTAACTGACCACAAGCACTCTTTTCTGTCTTGGAACTGTGAAGAGAATTTTCTCTTCCTGACCACTACAAGCTCCACCACACCAGCACTCCTCCTTGCCCCACCACCACCACCCAGAACTGTGACCCAGATCCAAGCACAGGCAAAGCAAGAGAATCCTGCACCAGCAGAGAGATCCCTGCAATTCCCCTCTAATCAGCCACTCGATTCCCCCTCAGTCTGTGGGCCGGAAGCTCAGGAGGCAGCCGCCACCTCGGGCCAACCTGGGGGAGTAGGGATGGGACCCCGCTCTCCTCTCCCAGCACCACAGAAACAGACTTTTCCCACTGACCTTCTAAATTGTCTTTGGCATTTGTGGGTTGAGAGGTCTGGAAACCACCACAGCTGCCTGCGATTCAGTCCTCTGAGGCCTGCTCCAGGTTTGCTGTGGCCTGTGCGCCCACGCCACACTGAGCTCCTCTACCTGCCTGGTGCAATACACCTTTCCGATCAACCATCCAGGCTGTCTTGGGATGGAAATTTGTTTCACTCTTTCTGTGGGTTCTGCTGCTTTAGAATTTGTCTAGAGCCATTTTTTATAGGTATTTGGAGGGGTTTGGGGGAGAGCTCAAGCTAGTCACTGCTTTTACTCCACCATCTTGGCTCTGCCCCCAACATATCTCTTTAATTTATGATGCCTTCCCTTCTCCATTGGTAAAACAGGAATGATATCATCAAATCACATTAATTAAGAAACCACTAGGTGCATGACCCCAAGCTAAGAGATGCAAGGATGATGCAGAATACATGTAGAAATATAGTTCCTGCATCTTTAAGAAGTTTGAGTTACCAACCATAAACAAACAAAAGGGTGAAGGAGTGAGTGAGCAAATGAATGAATGAATGAATAAGCAAATAAATAAACAAAGCTAATAACAACTTTGTGTATGCACACTCACATCCAATAAATAGTTATACCTTAATAAAGGAGATGTGTTATTTCTACATCTCTTTAATGGGGTGAGGCTATGTAAACATAAGATTCCATTGAAAGTGCTTTGAGATCTTCAAGTCAATAGCAGCATATAAGCAAATACCACTCAAAACCGAAAATAAAAACAAGTTGTTGAAAAAGCCTAAAGTACAAGCTCAAAGTCTTATCAACAAATATTTTCAAATGAGTCCCCTTAAACGTTTCCTTTCAGCTTCCCTTCACTTTTAATGTCCCAGTCATTTTACCTGAAACAGCAAGCATTTTGGCTTCAAGCAAGGCTGGTAGCTGGTTCTCGATTTCATTCACTTTCTTCCTCAGAGAGCTGCAGAGTTTCTGACTCGTACAAACCTAAATGGAGGTAGACAGCCAGGATCCATAATTCATTCTAGTAAGTCAAGAACAATCCACTGAAAACTCTGGAGAGTGTCTGAGTTGACAAATGGAACTCAGCATTCTATTACCAAGGGAGCCCAATGGAAACTACTCAAAAACACACAGTGGGCTAGCCCATGACTTAACCCCATAACCAATAACCAAGTTACAAAACCAGAATGGCATTGAGAAGCTACCTCATCAGGCAGCAGACCTAAACCAGACCTCCAATGGCTATGCTGAATTGTGATACGTTTTAGTTGATGCTATCTGATGCCAAAATCCACTTTCCCCAAAGTATGGATCTTATAAATTGGTCAGGGAATCTCAGTAAAATGTATAGATTTCACCATTAGGATTTTTAGTACTACTCTACACATTGCTTCTATTGTTTCTCAGATTTTAATAAAATAACAAAAATCTTACATCCCAATTATTTTTTTCTAAGTTCTCCTCAGTCTTTTTTTTTAATTTAAGAAGAAAGTCCCATATTCAATATGCACGTATCCAGGTTGCAAGGAGCCAAGTAGGCAAACACACACTCCTTCAAGTGCACACAATACTGATTGAATAACAATAGATGAGCCAATAGGGGTGTTTTCTCACTGCACAAAAGACACTGGTCTAATGAGATGCCTTGAAATTAGCAGCTATGCTCTCTCATTAGAAATCTGAGATGTGTTCAACAGCTAAAATTAGTCCAATTGGGAACGAAAAGTCCCAAACAAATATTCAGTTCTAATGCACAAAAGAGGCTAGATCTCTCCAGACACAAATCTCCCATCATTTTGATTCTTATGGACAGAAATTGAGATTATTTTTATATAGAAGAACAACCTCTGCAATCTTGATTAATATCACCCAATCATTTCCCCCTACAAACTAATGATCTTCTCCACTAATTTTTAGGGAGCGGAAGGACCATATGGTAGCATCTTCTCCAAAATAAAGCTAGTTCTGGCAGTGTCCAAAACAATAGATTTCAGTAACCTTCCAGGGCCCTGAGGTTTTTCAGTGTTACACTAACTACATGGAATTACAATGCAGATGTCCCAGATACATTTGTACCTCCAGCCCTCTCTCCTAGGGATCATGAGAGCCCAGCTGAATTACATTTTACAGTCATTCAACTAAGAATGTTACTAGGGCAGTTGAGAACATTTCTGTTAATTCTAAAACACTGGCCATAATTCTTATGTCTCATCTAATTTATGTACACTCTTTCTTATTTTAGTTAACAGCCTCTGTTAATCATAATTGGGTCAGCCACTCCTTTGTTGAACAAATCTATCTTTCAAGCTGTCACTGCTAATATAAAATGAGATTTATAAATCTCCTTATTAAATTGCAGTTGTACATACTTTCAGTTGCTGCTGGATTAATCTAATCTTCACCAATCTCCAGATAGTCTATTTTCAACTCTTTCTTCCATCTCATTTATCTCTTAATTGCTTCAGCTTTGGGCAGGTCACACAATAGGTAGATAAATGTACTGAGTGGAAGGGATATTTAAACTCTCAGTTAGAAAAGAAATTAATTAGTCATCTCTAACCCAAAGTAGCCATCCAAAAGTAGTCCACCCAAAGTAGTCCAAGGTGGACTTGAAATCACCTAACATCCCAAAGAATGGAAGACAGAAGGTCCACCTATACAAGGAAATTTATGGCTGAGTCATCAGGCTTTCTCTGGTCATATTTATAAGCTTACTTAAAATTCCAAAGAATGGAAGACATATATACCATATATAAAACCTCAGGCCTCTCAGTTGCCAGGCTTTCTCTGGCTTAGAAAAAGAAGGGCAGGGTTGTTTTCTGCCTCATGAGTGTCCCATGACCCACAAATGAAAATAATGAGTCATATTCAACCATCATTCCAAGGGCGCACAAAACCAGGACCCAAAACCAAGGTGCTGCAAGTGTCCAAACTGGTTTTAGCATCCCACTAGCATTTTTCAACTAAAAGTGGACCCTAAGGAATATTTGTTCATTCACCTTCCTACATTTACGTTTCTCAGAGTCTGCAAGAGACTGAGAAAAAGTAGTTATAACTTTTCTGTAAATTTATGGGAAGCTTTAGTTAAGCTAGGGGCAGGTGACATCGTGTGTGTGTGTGTGTGTGTGTGTGTGTGTGTGTGTGTGTGTGTGTGTGTGTGTTAAGCCAAATGCAGAATATTAAGATGTTCAACTCCAAATGCAAGTAAATTCTCCCATCTGTAGGCAGCACACTACAATGGAAAGAGCACTAATTAGAGAATCAGAGAGCCTGGGTTTGAATCCTGTCTCTGACATTTACTATCTGTTTGACCTTGGATAAGTCACATGAGTGTCCTGGTCTCCATTTTCCCACATATAAAATAAAGGAGGAAAGAGGAGGAAACAAGCATTAAGTGCCTACAATGTGTCAGACAGTATGCTAAGTGCTTTACAAATATTATCTCACTTAATAACGGTAAACTAGATTGTCTCTGAGGTTCCTTCCCGTTTAAGGAATAGATTCCTCCAACCCCACGGATAAGCTATTTGGCTTTCTGACAATCAGCATTTTCTTTTCCTGCCTCTACCAGCCCACTGTCAACCCATATCTAAGACTTGAGAAAAGGGACTGGTGCTAAGGGCCCTGGTCTCAAGTTAACTTGATGATCATCTATAATCATCTGGTATCACTTCTCAGTTTATCCACAGGTTATTTAGGGGTCTTATGCTAAGAATGCTTTTCCAGGGTTTCAGATCTACTCAGAAAATTCAATTTAATAAACATTTATTAAGTCCCTGCTGCTGTCAAACACTGTGCTAAGTTCAGTGGATACAAAAAGAAACAAAAGACAATCCCTGCCCTCAAGGACCTCACAATCGGATAGAAACTGTGCCTATCTTAGACAAATGAAATTAGATGATTTAATTCATACTTATTGGAAATACTGAATTCTTTCAAGATCAAACTATAGTTCTAGAGTGTAACTATAAAAAGTGGCCAGAGAAGTTCTCAGACTAACAGGACTGGAAAATGTACTCTTTACCATTTTTCTGTGTTTGTAAGGATGTCTGAACCCTGCTTTCTTTGTAGGAAAAGTAATTAACTTTTCATAATTGTTCCTGTACCAAAAGTCTTTTATTTTTATTTTTTTAAAGGCAATTGGGGTTAAGTGGCTTGCCCAGGGTCACACAGCTAGTAAGTGTCAAGTGTTTGTTCTGAGGCCGGATTTGAACTCAGGTCCTCCTGACTTCAGGGCCAGTGCTCTATCCACTGCACCACCTAGCTGCCCCCAAAAGTCTTTTAAAGCAAAGGAATTTAATTGTGAACAGTAGCTACTTTTTCCCATTTCGTAAAATTGGAAGATATCTCTAAAGGAAAGGCCAATAAATCCATTTCTACAGTGATCACAAGCCAGAAACACAACCACAGAGAGCTTCCCTGGCACCTGACTCCTTTAGGTTATCTTCCTGTATTACAAAATGATCTTACTAGGCTAAACTCATCTAAATGAGAGAAATCAATATTTTACTAATATGTTAATAACTAATTGTTAATTTGCAATTCATTCTTTTCCTCCTATTTTTGTTAAGATTCCACTCCTGAAAAGATCAGTCAGTTTTTGAAGGATGTAACTGAGCAAGGTAATCTTTTCCCAACCCCAAGGCATCTACCTGGGCAGGGAACCTTATTTTTGTTTACTCTGTAAACAAAGGCCAGCCTCCCCTAGATCTCTCGACCAAGACATGTCTCCTTGTCCTTGGCCCCCTCCATTAGAGTTTAGGAAGATCCAGCTCATGAAGGAGAAAACCAGCCGGAGAGAACCAGATGGAAGTGGCTTCCCCTGGCCAGATGCCTTCAGCCTGCTGAGAATTGTGATCAAGCTATGTTCTTAGCAAGAGGAGCTGAAGACTTTTAGCCACCTCCTCATTAAATGTCCGCCAATCAGGGTTGAGTTTCACTTGTCAGGGGAGTTCCCTGTCAGAAAGTACACACCTGATTTAAGGTGTTTCAGAGTCTCCTTTGGTGTCTTTGGTTACTGAGAGAAAACCACTGATCATCAACTTATTGATTATTGGCTAGCCTAATTAATAAATTGATTATTGATTACCTAGAAACTCTGTCTCTCAGAATTTTCATTTGCTACACATAGCTCTGACACTCTGTGGTCTAGACAAGAAATAGATAAAAAAGGAGACACAATATATATGTGTGCATATGTGTGTTCATAAATATGTGTATACACACACACATCCTCTCAAATTTCAGGTATATTTTAAGAAAGCAATTTCCTCATATTTTATATGTGGTTGGTAAAAATGATAGTTTGGGGAACTCACCTTTGAAGTAGTTTCTTTAATGGCCAAGCTGAGTGACTGCTCCTTCTCTTGGAGGCTAAAAGAATGGAAATAAAATGGGGAAAATTGTCTTCTTAATTAGTCACAGTTAAACACTACCAAGTAGAGAAATATAATTAAAATATTCAATAAGAAACACTATGGCCCAGGACTTTGAGTAGAGGTCTTGGAGCCAAGTCAGGAGGATATAGACTCAACTTTTCCCTCTATCATACTCTAGCTGTATGACCATGGGCAAATCCCCTTAATCTCTGAGAGATACCAGATGACTCTAAAACTATAACTTATACAAAAAGTGCAGTTATATAAAAAAACTGCTGATCTGCATGGCTGAAGAAGCTTTCCAAACTGTAAGCTCCCTACATTGATCAAATCATAGGTTCAAAACAATGATGATAATAATAATAATGTAAAGTCAATACTCAATTATCTTTCTTGCTAGGTAGAAACAGCAACAATTATCCTACCAAAAATTATTTACATTTGATTTTTAAGTGAATGCTATATTTTCCATTATTTGCGCATTTACCTGAATAGCTTAACTAAGCAAATGGTGAAATTAATTTTCATTTTCTGAGCATAGGTCTATTGATGGAGAGAGGAGGCAGCGCATGATGGCAAGGGATAAAACTGAGCTGCATATACAACTCCAGCAGAATAGTTAATAATAGCTAGCATTTAGATAGCATCTACTGCATGCCAAAGTGCTTTACAAATATTATTTCCCTTGACACTCACAAAAACCCTGGGAAGTTATTATCCCCATTTTACCATTGAAGAAACTGAGGCAGACAGACGTTAAGTGATTTGTCCAGAGCTTCAGAGCTAATAAGTATCAGAGGCTGGCTTTGAACTCCATTCTTCCTGACTGCAGGCCCAGCACTCCATCTTCTGTGCCATCTGGCTGCTCTAAATTGTCCACATGACACAAGTAGTCAATATCAACGTGGTCAAGAATTGACAAAATTCATCCTTTCCTAGAGGAACCACTTGTTCAGTGGCTACTGTATACCTGTGTTTGAGCCAGACCCTGTGGAATATATTAAATATTATAGAATTATATTAAATAAGATATGTAAAAGTACATTATAAATTGGATAGACTTCATAATATATATGCATTATGATAATACAATTATATGCTGCTTTACCGTTTTCAAGAGCAGCTGGTGGCTCAGTGGATAGAGCCTGGAGTCAGGAACACCCTAGTTTAAACCCAGCCTCAGATACTTCCAAGCTATGTGGCCCTGGACAAGTCACTTAACCTCTGATTGCCTGACAAAACGGATCTACTGGAGAAGGAAATGGCAAACCAATACAGTATCTTTGCCAAGAAAACCCCAAATGGGGTCGTGAAGGATTGGATACAACTGAAATGACTCCACAACAACAATTACAGTTTTCAAAGGGCTTCCATCACAACTACCCTGGCAAGGTAAATAGTGCAATTATTAGTATTCATGTTTTACAGATGAAACTGAGGTTCAAGCAGGTTATGATGCATCAAGGTCACACAGCTAGCAAGCAACTCAACTCCAGGACTCACCCTCAAATCTTAGGACTCCAAATATGTTGCTCTTTTTATCATACCACATATAAATATGAGGTAATCTTTTTCCTTATCACATCACCATGATCACAATACAAGGTCCTTTCTTTAAGGAGATTATAATCTAGCTAGAAAGGCAGATGCATATAAAAGCGAAATCACAATACAGGCTATAGCACAAGTGTGCTGAATATCCTTCAGTATTTCACTTAATCATCTCCTGCCTCAGTTTCCTCACAATTACCTGGACAAAGTCAGCCATAGAGAGCTCTGACCAACCACTTTGTGGACTCCCTGCACCATTTGCTCCTTGAATCTTTATCAAAAGCTGTAAAAAGGAAGAAGGCAGCATTTAAATTTAAATCTAAGTCCTAGCATAACTTAGAACAGGGAGAAGGTTAAAGCTATCGACCCAAGTCACCTCTGGGGATTATCATTTATCCCTATTCCTCTTGCAATCAATACTCATCTGTCCTGCAAAGTCTCTTGAAAACAAATTTGCATGCAGTGACTCAGTAGTAGCATTTTACAAAAGCAAGCACAGAATGTCAGAGTTACAAAGTACCTCCTAGACCATCCCAGACCTTGTCAAAATAAGTCTATTCCCCTCCTTCCTCATGATAGCTCTTTAAATTTTTGACATCAGTTATCATTTACAACACCCCCACCCAAAAAAAATGATGCCTTAGTGACCTTCACTGCTTTTATCACATTTTGATGCTCTGACACATTTATGTAGTTATCAATGCTGGTATTTCATCTACTCATGCAGACTGAAACTTTTTATCATATGTGATTCATGTCCATGACTTCCATAAGTTAGTCTTTCCTACGTGCTAGAGAGTGTTTCTTTATCTAATTAATTATAGCATTTTATTTTGAAACTCTTCCATATGCTTATCATGCACTATTGTATACTATAGTTATCTGTATTTGTGCCTCATTCCTTCTTCCAAGCCATGAGTTCCCCAATGGCTGAGACTAGGTGTTCTCCCTGTTAACAATCTACTTCTACCAAAATCATTTTCCTAAAGCATAGATATGATCATGTTTCTTCTCTGCTATAAACAAACAGATAGACAACAACCAGATAGATAAATGAATAAACAATAAAACCCTCTGGTACATAAATAGGATAAAATACAATCTCTTTAGCTTAATATTTAAGCCCTTCCGCAATCTGGTTCCAGCCCATTTTTCCAGATCCCTTTTATATTATTCTCCTTCATGCACTCTACATTCCAATGAAACCACTCTTATAGCTGTTGTCTACTCAGCCTTCCATTTTCCCAACTCTGCATTCTCAAAGGCTGTCCCTCATGCCTGGAAAGTACTCCCTCTCATCTCTGCCTTTTAAAACTGTTATCTTCCTACAAGATTCAGTGCGGATGTCACTTCTTCAGGCTGGCTTCCCTGATCTCTCTCCTCAAATATTCCTTGACCACTTTGTCTGGATCTCTTCTTTGCCCCCATCACTCCCTCTTTTGCCTCACTCTTATCTAAACCTATTATATCCCTGCAAGTACAAATGAGCTGCTCAAATGCAGGGACAGACTGGATGATATTTTATCTTGGTATCCATGACCTAACACAGTACCTAGAGCATAGTAGGCATTTAATAAATGGCTGTTTAATTGAATTGCTGCTGGAATAGAACACTTCTTGAGTAAGTTATTTTTAACTGAGGTGGCCTAAAATAAGCACTTAACACCTAACTATAAATAACCTTTCACAGGAAACCACAAAGAATAACTCGTGCATTAAGAACAGAAACAGCTAAATAATGGACCTGTTTAGAAGCACTTGGGTGAGGATAGCATTCATTGTACTGAAGATTTCACTTACCAAAATAGTATCTTTAGCATTGCCTGCACACTAAAAACAACAACAGACTCTACAGAGAGCCCACACTTTGCCCTATGCTTTATTCCTAGTGGGAATGTATGTTACATGTATCTGCAGGCAGGAGGATGGAGTTGAGTGAGGTAGGGTCCAAGTCCAATCCAGGAAAAGTGACCACTGATGAGAATTTGTGCCAGTCTGCTTAGACCCACTCTCAGGGGTCTCACATGACTCTGATGGATAGCGAAAACTGTCAGGGAATGATGGTACCCTTTTACGTATTTCACCCTTGAGACCTGATGGTCAGAGGATCAAACTTTGATAACCATTGTTGTTGCTGAGTCATTTTAGTCATGAACGACTCTTCATGACCCCATTTAGGGTTTTCTTGGCAAAGACACTGGAGTGGTTTGCCATTTGTTTCTCTGGCTCACTTTACAAGTGACTTGCCCAGAGTCACACAGTCAGTATGTGTGAGGTCAGATTTGAACTCAGGAAGATGATCATATCAGATGACAACTATATTAGCTTCTACTTGTTGGAAGAGTTGAGAAATAGTATAGATTGCATACCAACACAAAGAATTAAAAATAAATCCAGAAAATTATGGTCCTCTTTTCAAGTATTTCCTTTTGTAGGGTGGTGAAACAATTCCATTGCACAAATAGTAAAACAAGGACAAACATCATTTTATGGGGACAGTAATCACTGATGAGAACAGTTACCAAATAAGTCCAGCAAGACTCAAATCTGAAGGATTTGAACACCCTCTCGGGTGTTCCTTTTGCCCTATCTGGCCCTATCCCTGAAGACAAACTAGTCACTTCCCAAGTAGAAATGTTCATGGAGGGAGGTATTAATACAGATGACCCAGAGATGTATTTTATATTTGATTCTAAAATACTGTGCAAACTTTAGAGGCTGACAAAATCATGAGTTATTTGGATTACAGTTGGTTGATTGTCAAGCTTTTTGATTTATGCTAGGCTACTCTTAGTAGGTTTGCCTTCCTAAATTTGCTTTGCTTAGCCTAACATTTACATTAGGTCATATTTCTTCTGTTCACACTTATTGAAGGCAACAGGAGGTAGTCACAAAGCATGAGGTAGATTGTCCACAAACTGGATAATCCCAAAGTAGCTAACCTAGATTTGAATGTATTCAATTATGTCAAAAATCTGTAGGCACCTTATAAACCTGTGACAAAGATGCAGTGTGATTTCATATCAGCTTCTCTAATTGGGTATCCTAATAGAAATGTCTATTTGAGATTTGGACTATAAAATCTTGAGACTTATTTAGGAGCTATACATTTAAATAGGCTTTGCTTTCAAAGCTGTCACTTGGGGAGGATACATACTCATTTTAACAATGCCATCAAATCATTTTGGAGAAATCTTCTCTGGACTTTCTATTAAGACCTGTTTACAAGCCACAACAGAAATTCAATTAAAAGTCACATTTAATTTTTGACACAAAATAACACTCTCCCATTTGACTGCCCACTTTATTCACAGATGTGTCTCCAAGTGCCTCTTGGTAGTTACTGAAACTTAAGACCATTGCTGAAAAGCAAGGATTTGCTACCAACTAGAACATTCACAAGAACATGTCTATGTTTTTAGGACATTTCCAAGAGGAGTTTCA